TACATTCTTCTGCTTGGGTAATTTTGAACAAGTCGCTTCATCTCTCAAAGCCTGGATTTCCTCATTTGTACGATGGGCAATATGGACAAAGGTTGTAAAGATTACGGAGAGTATAGGCTTTACCCCAAGCCTGGCATACAGTGGTTACTCAGTAGATTTCAATGAGGACATCGTAGTCAAAAACCTCATGTATTCAGATATGTGTTCATTCATGAGTTCAGATAGTGGCAAATACCAAGGTTTCAGGAAATCTGGGTACTAGTTCATAGAGAAAACACTTCAGTTCTAATGAACAAATGAGGTCATTTCAATTCATTGATTATTTTATCGTTTCATTTGTTATACTTATCAGACAGCTGTATTAATCTGTTAGCTGGAACAAAAATCTCTTCAGTTTGTAATGCCTGCCAGTAGATGATAATTCTAATTGTATAAGGTTGTCAATCACAAACTTACATTTCCTAGAAGAGGGCTAGCCTCAGTTACAATTTTTAATAAATGACAAGTATCCGGGAGGACACAGTTCTTTAGAATCCTAGTTATTGGCTTTGACAACAAATGTTTGCTATCATAGATATTTCAGTTCCCTACCGAACCTACACAATAAGGAAATGCCCAGCCATTCTTTTCCGGAGGATAGAAAAAACTGAATACTTCTTTCAAAGTATTGTTTTAATCCATTCCCCGAAGCGTAACATAATTATGCATTTTTAATCACTAAATTAGAGCTCTTGATACAGGTAATATAAATGCAAATAGTCATTATTAAAATAGGAGCTGAACGCACAGCAAAGGAAAAAAGATCTCCTCTAAGGTGAAGGTAACCTGGTTTCACATAATTTGCAAAACAAAAGCAATTCCCCACCAGAGTCATTTGGGAAATGCCCATGAGCACCAGCATCAGAGGAGGTGATGGCTTTGCCCACTGAGGAACTCCAGTTTACAGAGAGGAAGGTTGAGACAGGAAGAAAATTCAAGTGGTCTCCTAGATTCATGTGGAAAGACAGCCCCAATTTAGTTTTCATCAAGGGAGGTAGCTCTCTGGATAAAAGCAGGATTCTAGACGTGTAGCCCAATTCTCTGAATCCAGGCGAGGTGGACATGCCATTGTCTCTGTGGCCTGGTTCCCCAAAGTAAGAGTGGACCCCTCTGAGGCACAGGTAAAGCTCCTCTACTCTGCTGGCATACACTTCAGTGTTTCCTGTTTTGAGTCTGTCCTTTGCCATATGAGGCCAGGGGTACAATTCCCTAGCACACTAGATCAACTATCAGTGTAGTAACAAAATCAAACTATCTGTCTATCTGGTTAACCAACTGTTCACCTGAATTCACCAGCAGCTGGCAAGAGTCTACAGCCCTTATCAATAAGCCAAGTGTTGGCTGAATTGATTGGTTGGTTGACTGATACTTAATTCAGCTAAGAGAAAGGATCCCATTCGTACAGCACCCAAGTCACTTCCTGTTCCCTCTTGCTTTTTGGTTAATGGAAGCTGCAAAACCTATGATTCCTTCCTATTTGTTTTTACTTTGCTTTGTGAGAACTGTCTTCTCTTTCCTACAAATTTGCTTTGTGTGTGTCTTGGGGGAATGGAATATTTGCCAATTAGCAAAAACCCTGAAGTTTGGAAGGGACGTGAAAAATCATCAAACCCCAATAATTCTTCAGTGGTTAAGTCTTTGATTGTTTTCATATTTATTTTTGTTGAACATCTCCAGTGAAGGGAAGCAGTTATATTCCTAAAAGAGCTCACCTATGTTTAGATAGCAATAACTGTGCTGATATAACTGGGGAGAATAGAGGGAAGGGCAGAGAAAGAGGTGAAGAGGAGAGGAGGGGGGAGGGAGAAAGCTCTACCACTAACTGAGCACTTACTCTGACCCCAGCCCTGTGCCCAAAGGAATTACAGCCATATTATGTTGTTTGGGCTTGTGGCTCTAGAGTCAAGCAGCATACAGGGGCAGAGTTCACATAAGGGCGTGATTCCCTCACTTCTGCTAAGGAAACAAGAGCAAGAGATAGTGGCTGCACGTTAGGGTAGGTTGGCCAGGATCACCGACCTCTCTGCTGCCCTACAAATCCTCATTGGCACTCCCTGGAGACAGCAGAGTTCTTCTTCCCTTAAAGGTTATAAAATGCCTTTGCTTACTTCTCTTCGTGGTCGAGCAGGGATTGGAATCCAGGCCTGTTTAGTGTTAGAGCCTGTGTTCTCAACAAGGCATTGCTAATTAGTTCTATCCTACCTTTCACTGGCTTTCTATTCTTCGTCATGTCTCCGCACCGCATCCAGCTGGTGCTGCAGCCCCGCAGCAGAAATGTAATTAACTGGCTGGTAGAAGGGAAGTGGTAATCCCCTGTGCACATTCTCAAGTGTTCTTGGATTTTTTTAAGGTAAGAGGTTGACCCGATTTTTTGGTAAGATTATAAAGAAAGGACATAGAAATAGCCGTGTGAAAGCAAGTCCAGGTGACAGGTAGAGAAGGCTGTTAGAGTTTGTGACCCTTTATGGGATGGCTCCTTCATCAGCCAACAATGCGGACCTCCCTTTACCTGAAGTTAAAAGCGTGATAGGTTGCTTCATGGAACTTTCCTCTTCCCGCCTCCGTGAGACAATGCAAACTAGCTCATGTACCCAGGCCCCAGGAGCAGCAGTGTCCGTGGTTAGGAGTGAGGGACTGAGGGCAAGTCAGAATCTCATCTCTGCCACTTTCTAGCTGATGACCATGGGTAAGTGATTTGACTTCTCTGTGACTTCATCTACAAAGGAAGGATAATAAGTCAGGGTAATAACCCATCCTCTAGAGGGTTGCTGCGATGATGGAGTTCTATTTTTTTCAGCACTTGGGACATGCCTGGGATCCAATGATGTCCTCCTCATTGGCAGGAATCGCAGCAGCAACCAGGAGTCTGGCTGTGCGCAGTCAGAACCAAAGCCCTCCCTCCGAGATCTCAGATCCTTATTTGTGCTTTTCAGGGATGGAGAGAAGGCATCTCTTTGTGCCTTCCCCATGCTCCACTCAATAGACTCAGAATCTGAGTCACCAGTTGCCAAGCGTCCCATGGGCACCAAGACTCTCAGTCAGCACCAATGCCAGGTTAGTTCTGTGAGCCACGTGGAAAGCTAGAACTGGGACCCCACTGAATGATACCTAGGACACTGGGTCAATTTTAAAATGGGATTCAGGTACTGCCAGAAGCTCTTAATATGATGAGAGAGCACTGGAAGGGCTTTCATGACTCAGACAATTACATGCACAAACACTGCAGGATGTGGCAAAACAAACAGGGACTCATTGCCAATGGCTCCTTCAAAGTAAAGGCAATTTCTTGGTGAACTTATGCAACGTTGGCAGCCCAGAGCAGCCAGCAATTTCGCTTTGTATTTATGTTCTTGCACATTCTAGGCACATGTTACGTTCTTCTCCCTCCTGGTATCCCATTTTATGAATGAGAGACTGTGTCCCAGAGAAGTTAAATGCCTTGTTTCAAAGTCTGACCCTTATAAAGCCACACTCTTGGCTTTGTACAGGGCTCTCTGGCTATTCCCTGATAACTACCTTGTTATTACCCTGGTGCTTCCCATACCTGTACATGGGGCTCCCCATCTCCACCTGCAGCAATATGCTCCTTCCATAACTATCTTCAGAGGTAACGGATCCAGGGGGTGCCTGGGTGGCTCAGTTGGTTAAGCATCTGCCTTCAGTTCATGATCCCAGCGTCCTGAGATTGAGCCCATAGTTGGGCCCCCTGCTCAGCAGGGAGTCTGCTTCTCCCTCCCCCTGCTCTCGCGCTCTCGCTCACTCTCTCTCCCTCTCAAATAAATAAATATAATCTTTAAAAAAAAGAAGAAGAAGAAGAAGAAGAAAGTAACGGATCTAGTACAAGGGGGTTGAGAAGAGTCAAATGGTTTCAGCCTCTGGCCCTGTCTGAGGATAGCAGTATTTCTTGGGTAGGTCCCCTTTCTGTCCTGAATTTCAGGGTAGGGCCTTCGGCTTGGACTAAGATAGAATTGAGGAGGAGACCTGGGCCTTCTTATCTCATTCAAAAGAAGGTGCGGCTACCTTATACTCAATTGGCTGGTTACACACAGTGCCTTAGGCCACCTGGTTCTGAATCTTCTCCCATTTACTGCTGCCCAACATAAAATCTTTTTTTTTAAGATTTTATTATTTATTTGAGGGGGGGAGAGCGCATGTGCATGAGAGAGAGAGAGGGTGGGAGCATTAGCACAAGCACGAGCACAAGCAGGGGAAGCAGTCAGAGGGAGACGGAGAAGCAGACGCCCTGCTCCCAGGACCCTGGGATCATGACCTGAGCAGAGGGCAGAGGTTCAACCGACTGAGCCGCCCAGGCACTCCTCATAAAGTCTTTTTAATGACCTGATTTTTAAAACTGTGAGAGAAAGCACCCCTGCCTCTGAATTACACCAGCATGAGCACTCATGTGATTTTCTCTTGCTAATGTTCTGGAAACTGTAACAGAAATAAGAAATCTCTCAACTCACTGAGAAGCTGAAAGGAGAAAAATTCATAGTAGATATGATAGGGACCATAGGTAGGATAGGACCACTGCATAACCAGTGCTTGAGGAGGGAGAGGGGAGTTCTTTGTCCTGGGCCCTTGATTCTCTAGGTCCTGCCTTAGAGTTCAAAAATTCTTTGGAATGTGCCTACCTTCCTTTTAGATCTTCTATTCTTTCCATAATTCCCCAAGCCACCATAGTGCATTCAGGACGAGCATATAGCAGATGATTCTTCTTCCCTTTGCTTTTCCTCTGTCCTTTCTCCCCTTTGTATTCTTCTTCCCCTTCCTTCAATGTCCTGCTTTCCCCAAAGCCTGACAATGCTCCGGATGAAATGAAGACACAGGCAGGAGAAGGGGGCGGGGGGGATTCGAGTGGTCACAAGTTCTTACTGCAAATTCTTTTCTTTCCCATTTCAGGCTTGGAAAAAAAAGATACTCCTCCACCCAAATAAAAAACCTTCCAAAAACCTGAACGGGGAATGAAAATCACCCACATCAGCCCATGGTCTATGTGTAAGCTAGAACACTCTGCACTTTGCATGTCTTATCACTGGATGTCCTGGGAAAGCCAAGGCCTCCTGCCCTGGGAAAACCAAACAACCATTGTGGAATTTGTGCTTCGAGGATTCTCCTCCAACCGACAGCTAAATATTTTCTTCTTCATAATGTTTTTTGCTTTCTACATCTTAATTATTTCTGGAAACATCCTCATTGTTCTGCTAGTTTTGTTCAGCCAGCACCTCCACAGCCCCATGTACTTCTTCCTGGTGAATTTGCCCTTATTAGAGATCTGCTATACCTCCAATATTGTCCCCAAGATGTTGCTGATTATCATAGCCCAACAGAAGACTATCTCTGTGGCGGGGTGCCTGGCACAGTTCTACTTCTTCGGATCCCTGGCTGCAACAGAGTGTCTCCTGCTCGCTGTGATGTCCTATGACCAATACCTGGCCATCTGCCAACCTCTCCATTATCCCTTCCTCATGACTGGCCCCCTTTGCATTAGGCTGGCTGCCAGCTCTTGGATCTGCTGCTTCTTCCTTACAGCAATCACTGTGGTCCTACTGTCTAGACTAACCTTCTGTGGACCCAATGAGATTGATCACTTCTTCTGTGACTTCACCCCTCTGGTCCATCTCTCCTGCATGGACTCCTCACTGACTGAGATCATCGCCTTCACCACCTCCTCTGCAGTAACCCTGGTTCCATTTTTCCTCATCGCTGCCTCCTACTCCTGCATTCTTGTTGCTATCCTAAGAATTCCATCTAGGACAGGCCGGAGAAAGGCCTTCTCCACCTGCTCCTCCCACCTCACCGTGGTCACAGTGTTTTATGGGACACTCATCACCACGTACCTTGTGCCTTCGGCCAATTCTTCACAACTCTTGTGCAAAGGATTCTCTCTGCTCTACACCATCCTGACACCCATGTTCAACCCCATCATCTACACCCTGAGAAACAGAGACATCCATGAAGCCCTGAAGATGTGCTTGAGTAAGAAGGCAGCTTTCCTCCTCAGCTGTTGCAAAGAGGAAAAGTTGGATATTTGTCCAAGGGACAAGGAATTGGATTGAGTAATTTAGATTCTACGTAAAAGGCACCACCTGCACTGGGAGTTATTAAAGCCAGATGACCGGATGCTTCTGAGCATGGCTGTGGATGCTGCGGAGTTCTGACAGCCTCAGGTGAACTAGGGTCCCAGGAATGGCCTCAGTAGGTCAAGTTCTGCTCCATTATCTTCAGTAGATCTGGATCTTTGTGTAAAAGCTCACCTGACAAATAAGCTGCTAAGGTTGGTTGCTCATTTATTCAAATATTCATCAAGGTCTACTATGTCTGAGATACTGTACTACATATAGGTGATAAAATGAACAAAAACAGAGACAGTCCCTGCTTTCATGGAACCCGCAGTCTATAAGGGGATGACAAACATTAATCAGATAACTAACATAAAACTACATATAAATATAAAACTACACTTGTGATTCAAAATTTAAAAAAAATAAGATGACTAGTACTTACCTATTAGAATGGCTAAAATCCAGAACACTGACAACTCCAAATGCTGGTGAAGATGTGGAGCCACAGGAACTGTCATTCATTGCCAGCAGAAATGCAAAATGGTACAGCCACTTTAAGATAGTTTGGAAGTTTCTTACAAAACTTCATAAGCTTTTACCGTACAATCCAGTTATCACATTCCTTGGTATTTACCCAAATGAGTTTAAAAGTTATGTTTACACAAAAAACTTCACATGGATGTTTATAGCAGCTTTATTCATAATTGTCCAAACTTTGAAGCAACCAAGATGCCCTTCAATGGATAAATGGAAAAATAAATTGGTAAATTCAGACAGTGGAATATTATTCAATGCTAAAAAAAGTAATGAACTATCAAGATCTGAAAGATGTGAAGGAAACCTGAAATAGATGTTATTAAGTGAAAGAAGTTAATCATAACATCATATGATCCCAACTATATGACATTCCACAAAAAGGCAAAACTATGGAGACAGTAAAAAATGAGTAGTTGCCAGAGGTTAGGGTCAGGGGAGGGATGATTGGAGAACACAGGATTTTAGGGCAGTGAAACTATTCTGTATGATACTACAAAGTGGATACATGTCATTATACATTTGGCAGAACCCACAGAATGTACACCACCAAGAGTGCACTCAAATGTAAATTCTATAGGTTCACTGATTGTAACATTTTGGTGGAAAATGTTGATAATGGGTGAGACTGCAAGTATGGGGTATTAACCTTAAAAAAACTGCCAGTTATCTTACCAGCAAAAATGGGTTTATTTGGGAATAACAGAGAATTGTAATCCAGACCAAGCAAGCTATGGCAGAGCCATAGGCAAGTTGGCAGAACGGTAGAGGAAAGCTCTTTTACAGAGGAAACGGGAGAAGTTGGGAAGGCTGTTACAAACAAAATGTCCATTGCAGTAAACAGGGAGTTCAAAGTATAGTGGCTTCTCATTAGTTGGACTGTTGCAGGAGAGGAAGAGAGCCTTTCTTCCTCCTGCTAGTGTAGTAAAGTAGTATCCATGCACAAATCCATCTCTCCTTATTGGGTCACCAGTTGATGAGGGGTAGGGCATAAATGTTCCCTCTGCTGGTCTCCCAACACCATTCTAAATGAGATTTCAGCTAACATAACATAATAAAATAAAATAAAATAAAATGAGATTTCCTTTTATTAATAATTCACCTTGTCCCCCTTTTGATCAAGATCTCTCTTTGAAAGCATCACTGATCAAGAGTCAGGTTTTCCATATTTAGTGGTTTTGCCCCTCAGTGCCAGGAAGGACCTTTCCTGGTTGTCACATCCTACATTGGAGGGAAAGTGCATAGCAGTTGGAAACCACTTAAGACCACATTTGAGTAACAAGGAAGGTTAGGAGGGAAAAACTCTCAGGTACTCCAACTTAAAGCCCATATCTTGTCAAGGTCAGTTTAGAGATCATCTCAGAGCATGAGATAGCATCACCTTATTGGGTACATTATTTTTAAAAAAAAGTTTTGACAGGCAACAAAATATAAAATGTAAAATAATTATGAAAAATAAGAGAAGTAACATAACAATTCCAAATTGTGTGATGGTTCTAAACCAGGACTCTAGGTCTGAAAAGTAGCCAACTGAAATATTCATTGGCGGGCACCTGGGTGGCTCAGTCATTAAGTGTCTACCTTCAGCTCAGGTCATGAGCCTGGGGTCCTGGGATCGAGCCCCACATCAAGCTCCCTGCTCAGTGGGAAGCCTTCTCCCTCTCCCACTTCCTTCCCCTGCTTGTGTTCCCTCTCTCGCTGTGTCTCTCTCTGTTAAATAAATAAATAAAGTCTCTAATAAAAAAGAAATATTCTACTGGCACTGATTCTGACTTATGGGAAAAAGGTCCTCCTTATGAAGGCAAACTCCCATAGTATGCCTCCTAGAAGTCACAAAAGCAGAATAGTAAATATTGTGAGAGCACAATGAAAGAGTTAACCAAAGACATTTGGGAAGATACAATATAGGAATAAACATAAAGCAGTAGCTGATTAACTTTTTGAAAACTTCAAAGACATTTTAAAAGAATGCTGTAATTTCAAAAGAACTGTTTAGGACCAAATGTATTATCGACAACACAGTCAGCAAGGTTGAAAATTCAGAGACCATGAATTTGGAAAAGAATCTTAAGTCAGTGTATAGTTCAGATGAAAGAAAATTTGTGAATTCTGAACTTTCTAACCCTTCAGAAAAAGCAAGTGAAAAATTAATTTGTCCCAGGATCATGAGGCTATTTCCAAAAGGCCATAATCGAAAGAAAAGGTTTCCCCCTTTTGCAAGGGCTTGGGAAATGCAGACAGGGCACTGTCTTCCCATACAGAAGAGGGAAGAAGCACAGTGAGAAAAAGGTATACAAGCCTGGTATGGACACCTTGGAAAAGCTCTCATCAGATAACTGCTTCAATTCCTGGAAATCTTTACTTTCAGATCACCAAATCGTGTGCACTTCCAGTCAGGCATTGGTGCTTTCTTTCTTTCTTTTTTTTTACTGTGAATATTTTGCTTTATTGAAAACAAATCTACGAAATGACAAAGATCGTAAAAATTGTATACTGATAAAAATCCTTAAATTGTTAATTTCACCTTTACCAATGATCTGGTTCTGCTCTTTTTCTATTTTAATGATAGCTTTCAAATTCAAAACTGCTTTCAACTTACACATTTACATATGTAATAGCTGCTGGTGAAAACATCAATTCTGTAGCATAGTCCCTCTTACATGAGTACTTATTTTTTTTATTTTATTATGTTAGTCACCATACAACACATCATTAGTTTTTGATGTAGTGACCCACGATCCATTGTTTTCATATAACACCCAGTGCTCCATGCAGTACGTGCCCTCCTTAATACCCATCACCGGGCTAACCCATCCCCCCACCCCCCTCCTCTCTAAAGCCCTGTTTGTTTCTCAGAGTCCATAGTCTCTCATGGATCATCTCTCCCTCCGATTTCCCTCCCTTTATTTTCCCCTTCCTTCTCCTAATGTCCTCCATGCTATTCCTTATGTTCCACAAATAAGTGAAACCATATGATAATTGACCTTACATGCATCACATGGATCCAAGAATTTCTTCCCAGGAGTTTGGTGGCACAAGGGTTGGTTAGAAGTTCCTGATAATGGCCTGTCCAGTGAGGTTGAGGAGTCTTTCTGGAAGTGTCTTTTCCAACCCCAGTGAAATCTCTAGGTTGCAAGACACTTAAGGTCATTGTCTTTTAGGAGTGCACTAAGAAGTTCCTGATAATGGCCTGTCCAGTGAGGTTGAAGAGTCTTTCTGGAAGTGTCTTTTCCAACCCTAGTGAAATCTCTAGGTTGCAAGATACTAAGGTCATTGTCTTCTAGGAGTGCACTATGAAAAGATTGCTCCACCAAGCATTTTTTTTTTTTTAGGTAGGCTCCATATCCACCATGGAGCCCAATGTGGGGCTGAACTCACAACCCTGAGATCAAGACCTAAGCTGAGCTCAAGAGTTGGATGCTCAACTGACTAGGCCACTCAGGCACCCACCAAATATGGCTATTTTTAATTGAAACAATTAGACACTTATACTGTTGAAGTATACCTCTATCTCCTCTTATCAACTGTGGATGGGTCAAAGGAGGCAGGGGTCAAGTTCATTGGACGTTCTGTGACTATCTCAAAGGAGAAGACTATGAGTTCCCAAGGGGATGGATCTGAGATTTAAAAGGTCAATGGCAATGCTTTCAGCCAAGGTATTTGGAGAGTCTCAACAAATTTTGCCAGTTGAGTCCTAGTGCCTAACTTAGTGTATGTATGACTAACTCTGAGGGTTGAGGATGATATGCACAAGGAAAGTGTAAAACCGGCCAAAGAGCACAGAATTATCAAAGCACCTGACTAGTCAAATGGGTTCCCTGATCACTATGAGGTTTGAGAAATGTTCCTCAGGTAAGGATAATCTTTTCTAACAGAAGAAGCATTGGCATGTCTACAAGAGAAAGCCCCCCCCCCTTTTTTTTAATCAAGCTAACAATCACTAGGTTTCCAATATTGTTTTTCCCACTATGGGGCCAACTGTTGGGTATCTCTTGTCAATTTTTCCAAAATTTATCATTTGGGAGAATATCCCTTTGGGCCATAACAGAGATTTGGCTACTAACTTCCTTGAGAGTAGTAATTTTGGTGGAAGAATCAGTGAGCTAGATTACTTGGGCCTCCAGGGAGTTGAGTCTGGTATGTCCAGGAAACTTAATAGCCAAAGCAGCTGACAAAAGTATGACATATAATAAATTTTGAATATAGGAACCATTTTCTTTTTCTTTTAAAAAATTTTTTTTTATTATTATGTTAATCACCATACATTACATCATTAGTTTTTGATGTAGTGTTCCATGATTCATTGTTTGTGTATAACACCCAGTGCTCCATTCAGTACATGCCCTCTTTAATACCCATCACTGGGCTAACCCATCCCCCAACCCCCCTCCCCTCTAGAACCCTCAGTTTGTTTCTCAGAGTTCAGTCTCTCATGGTTCGTCTCCCCCTCCGATTCCCCC